TCACCCACTACATTACCACCACCATCCACAGCCACCCCCCCACCATAAAAATCCCCCAAATTTGCAACAATCACCGGACGGCGATCTGAGAGAAAAAAGAAAATCAAGAAGAGAGGAGCTCCGGCTGCTGCAGCGACGGGCGATGGGCTGTCGTGGCGTTGGATTCACTAATGCTGCTGCGAAATAGGGCAGCAGCATCGCGACGCTGCAGCGACGCCGGCAGCAAAAGGGGAGGGAGGGGGAGGAGAGGGAGGAGAACGAGAGGGGAGGAAGGAGGGAGGGGTAGAGAGAGAAAGCAAAGGAAATTTTTTTTGGGAATGAATTGGGGTAGTAAAAATATTAATTAAAATAAAAAATCTGATTTTGAAAATATTAAGCTTCCAATCTGATTTTAGAAAGTTTAATACTTAATGTATGATTTTGTGTAATTACCACATTAAAGAAGCTACACTTCATTGAGTGTAGTCAGACCTGGCCCTAGACCAGAGCCACAAAAAATAGAGTATCAGCTGTGAACACCAAAAAAAAAAGAAAATTACAGCAGAAGTAAAGAATAAAGGTAGATGAAAATGAAGTAAAGAAAAGACATATTTTTCATTCTAAAACCTCAATTTTATACAAAATTTGAATCTTTTAGTCAATAATGTGTGACTGTGTTGAAGAAACTCTCCTATGCCTCTTCTCCAAAAATGAAAAATCAATACCTCACTACTATTTTTACTGAGCTTCAATCATTAATTCCAAATGAAATATCATTCCCCCTTATTATAGTAGAAAAGGTAATTGGACTGAGTCACTGAGATAATCAATTAAAAAAGGAATTTTACCTGTTAAGGAAGGAAATGGAGAGTAAAAATCACTGATTGTGTAGAGAAACGTAAAGGAAATTGCGTAGGCAATTTCTTTCACATAATAAAGAGTGAAAGTTTTTAGGGGTAGATAAATAAAAAAAATTGCACTACTTGTACATAATGCCTAAATAACAATTTCGGTCTTTAAATTTTCATTATAATTTCCACAATTGACTCCTAAACAAAAATATGACGATGTTTAAGGATTTCTAGTTTATTTCGAAAAGCTTAGCCTTCATTTTTTGAGTAGTTTCATTACTTATTTTAAATCTCAAAATGTGAGATATGCTAAATTTCTGAGGTTTTGAGAGATATTTTTTTTTTGCTACTATATTTTGAATTTGTACAAAGTTTTCATTTAAATAATAACATATTATTTTATTTAAATATTAAGTATTGTTACGCATAAAAAACATTATGTTTAAGGGCCTCATATAATTATTTGCCTATGGACTCAATATTTTGAGGGCCGGCTCTGAGTGTTGTTTCTCTTTAACTCTTATCACTTTAATATTAGCTACTTAAAAAAAAAAATTGCAAATTTATTATTAATCTCCAACTTGGAGAAGCATGTAGCTTCAGTCCAATCTCCATGAAAGTAAACAAAAAGGTCACCGACGTATTCCCTTTGTACTTGAATAGAAATATAAAGCCTTCACTCACACTCGCCAAATTCAATGCAGATGGTGGATTAACCACTTTATTAGCACCTCGCTTATGCATATATACATGTATGAAAGTATATTTCAATTTTGCAGGACTTATAATTTCATATAATATTTTTTTTTCCATAAATATACGGAAAAAAAAAAACCACGGATCGAGTTGGGATATCGGTGATGTATAATTGTCAACAGAACACCAATTTCAAATAAAACTCGATAAATATTTCTATACATAGGTCATCTCAAGCAGACCTAAGTTTGTTTGCCAAAAAAAAAAAAATTAAAATTTTGTAAAAGAAAACAAAGCTAGTTTATTGTGCCAACAACCAAAGTATTGGTTGTTGCTTATAGTAAATGGCTCGTCAGGTCAGATGGATAGACCCATAGATTGATTCCTCTTTTGATTCTATATTTGTTGGTCAATAGCCGGTAATTTGATGTGTTTTAGATAGAATTCATTGATTGTTCGTTAAGTTGATAAAAACGTTTGTCTAAGAATATTGTAATGCCTTTTCGAATTAAGGTTACACATCATTTTCGTTATTACAATTTTTCTAATCAATATAATTAAGGTAGGAGATAATGTCAAACTCCATAACTATAAGTTTGATATTAAAATTCAATCGTTCGTTGGTTGTACTTTACAAAAATAGTATTGGCTCGTCAGGGACGAACTAGCATCGATAGACGATGTTAAAGGTTGGATCAACCCCCACCCCCCCGGCCCCTCTCTTTATTTCATAAAATTGACCCAAGAATTTAATATTCTTTTTAGTGTCGTCACTTGTGACCTTAACTCCTTATGTACCCCCTTCTTTAGGGATGTGTTTCTCTAGACTCTTGAGCAAATAATTTATCAAGGGAGTGGGGACATGAGCATCCAATCAAGAAGACAATTAAGTGCTGAAATTTTCACAAGGATATGCCCCATTTGAATTTCCTTGCTTGATTATCTTTGTCCATTACACAAAGTTCATTCAATAGATAACACCAAATGCAATCTTCCAAGGCACAGATTTCTTAGGCAAGATTCCAATAACAAAAAGTATTACCGACCTCATCACTTTAATTAGACATATAACATCAAAGTGAATTTAATTGTTTGAAAATATTAAAGTTGGAATTGAAATAGAGTGACAAAATGGTGAAGCTGAAAGTGTTAAAAGGCGTTCATACTTTGTCCTATATGTTGACATCAAAATTTATCAACAAAAAGTCAACTCGTTAGAAGCAACGGTCTTGAGAAAATAACTCCAGAAAGGCCAAGAATAACTCGTGAAGAAAATTATCTCAAGGACAATTTAATGCTCAAATCTGTATATGAGCATAAAATTCATATCGAGATATTGTCTAGAATTTTTTTTTTAATAACCGTGGGTGTTCTTGCCAGTTTGCGCGCACCTCGACTAATTCCATGAGGCCCTGAAGTTTACGGCCTGACATTCACCTCAGTGGCCTGAGAGAACTTGAACTGGTGACCATTGGAGAGCAAATTCAAGGATTGACCAACTGAACAACCTCTCAAGGTTGATATTGTCAAGAATGTTAGAACAATGTATTTAATATGGAAATTAAGCGTAATTAGAGATATTGTAGGAAGTTGTATTTATAGTTAGTGGACGTATCACGTTGTTCAAAGATGATAGATCAAATTTTTGATTTTGAATGTAGAATTTATCTTAAGATATAATCAAGAATGTTAGAAGTTGTATTGAGAAAGTTTTATTTATAGTTAGTTGAAGTATCGTATTTTACTAAACTGATAGATAAATAAATTTTTGCTTCGAATATAGTATTCATGTAGCATAGATAGGATTCACACCACAATTTTTATTATATGGACTACCGTTTAGTTGCAACGAAGGTTCCCAATTTTTTCTTATTTTTGTACTTATGTCCCCAACTTTTTTGGTTGTGTTCTATTTTTATAGAATTATTTGTATACCTTCACCAGAGACAAATGTACAAGTTAAAAAGAGGTTTATGATAAGAATTTGACCAAAAAAGTTGGGAAAATGGTGCAAAAATGAATTAAGATTGGTGACATTCATTACAGTGATAGATAAATCTAGATTGTGTATTATATGGAAGTTCTATTTAAAGTTTGTCGAGACACTGTATTGCACTAAGATAAGGTCATACATCATAAAATTTTTATTTCGATTATACTAATGATGTCATATTTAGATCAAGGATGGTGTCTACAATTGAGATTTTAATGAATTTATAAAGACATTTTAAATTCAGGTGTCATCAATTAAGATTTTAATGAATTTCAATAAAATTCTTTAAAATCTAACTTTCTTCGATAACTCTTGGATTTATAAGAATTTCAAAAGATTCGAATGGATTTCAAGCTTGAAAATACACATAACAAACTCTTTTAAGTGGGAAGTCAAATGAGATTTTAATAAATTTTATAAAAAAATATTTTTTGATGAATTTCACAAATTTGAATAGATTTTCACATAAATAAGAATCTCATTAAAATTGTGAAATTTTAAAAGAGTTTGTTATTTGTATTTTTAAACATAAATCCATCCCAATCTTTTGAAATCCTTTTACGAACATGTTTGTCCTCAAATGAGATTTTAACGGCTTTTCAATTATTATAAATTCTAACGAATTTCGTGAATTTTAATATATTTTCAAAGAATACATAAAAATCTCATTAAAAATATGAAATTTCAAATGTGTTGTTATGTATATTTTTAAACTAGAAATTAATCCAAATATTTTGAAGTTCATTTACTAACAAAAATCTTATAAATTCACTAGTTATTGAATATATTTAAATTTTAAAGGATTTCATAAAATATCATTTGGGAATACGTAGATTTTAATAAAATCCGTCAAAATATCAGTTGTAGACAACTAAATTTAGAAAGACTTTTATATTCCATTAAAATCTCAGTATCCTTAATAATACACGAGTTATTATGCTTAGATTTTAAAGGATTTTATTATAAAATCTCACTTGGGAATACCTAGCTTGTAATAAAATCCATCTAAATCTCCGTCGGGGACAACTGAATTTAGAATGAATTTTAAATCCATTAAAATCTCGATATCGCTATAAATACATAAGTTATTGCGGATACCTAAATTTTATAAAATTTTCTTAAAATCCTTTATAAGTCTCAGTTGGGGAGACCTGAATTTAGAAAGATTTTTAAATTTATTAAAATCCCAATTAAGGACACTCTCATTTTTAATGAGTTTCTTATGAATTCTATAAAAATCTTTCTAAATTTATGAAATTCATTAGAATTTACAATCTTTTAAAATTCATTAACATCTCAGTTTATGAAAATTAAGAGTACATTTTTTTAGTGTTATTTTTACCCTTGTCACTATATGTTTCTCCTTTGGAAGCTATGCAACTCTCAGATCTCTTCAAAAAAAGAAAAAATCCGTTCTGTTCCTCGACATTGATTTCTCTGGAGCCAACTGGGGGGTAACGGATTTTCTTGGTTATATTTCCATGGCAGAAACCAGCAATAAAGTTTGCAAAACCTTCAAAAATTCCCAAGCTATGTCACTCTTTCTTTTCCTTCTTTTTATTGTTCCCCTTTCTGGTCGTCGTATCAACTCTCCGGCGATATTAGAGGTTTCTTTAGCATCACAGAGAAGAGTGGTTCTTGATTCTCATACAAGAAACCAATCCACCACCAAGTTCCTCGGCGGAGCAACCACTTCTCCTCCCAATAGTCCTCCTCCTCCTCCTGCGTCGCCTGCTGGTGGTGGTGGTACCACAGTGGCGAGTACAGACCGAGAATTTCAGGAAGCTGCACATGAAGTTCCCAGCGGCCCAAGTCCTATTGGCAACTAATAATCATTATCTTCTTCTGCAGTACGGCATGAATTTCTGCATTAGGGTTATCTACACCACCGTTGCTCTAAATAAATAAGTTGCTTATTTAAAAGTAACTATTTTTTACTTAAAAAATAGTATTTACAAACGTGTCTGCAACAAAAATTTACTTGTAAGTTTCACTTACTTTTCAAAGCTTAGCCAAACTGATAGAATAACATGATAAGATTATTGATCAAAACAATAATCAAGTCCTTAATTATCAAATATAACCATACATGTTGAAATCAATGAGAATGAAAATAGCGGAAGTATAAACATACATTGATCCATAAATTTCTAATTCTTAGCATGAATGAGTTACGATCTTCCAATTGATTGGTGATCTTCGCTTCAATTTTTGCTCTCTATTGATGGGGATGTAGAGAACCTCAAGAACACAAACAATTGGGGATCATAACCATTTAAAATAATAGTAGTAACTCAATAGTCACTATCTTTCAGTTGCTTCAAATTGGCCCCTTGTCAATCTAAAACAACACTCCGGTCTTTACACTATAATTCCATGAAACCTAATACTCATTAGTCACAATACATCTTTAACAGATCACTTTAATTGATTAATATCCTTTAAAATAATAGCACCACACATTTCAATATACAACGTGTGACCCCATATATATTGAAATTATCCAACACAAACATGAAACATGTGAGAGATTCTTTGTCATTTCACGACCATTTTGAATAAACTGTCATGGGTTGTTCTACTATAATTGCCGTGGTATGTTGACAGATATTATAAACTGACGTTACTATATTATGACCTTGATAATTAATTTTTTTAATCAACCCACAAAATTAAGCGAAACATAAAATATACCACCTTAGGAAAGAGGCATCAAACCT